ATATAATTTCTTAAAAACATTTAACAAATATAATATATTTTGGTACTCTTGTGTTCTTAACAATAGGAAAACATTCAATAAGTATATGATTTGGCTCATTTTTTAAAAATCCAAATCCCTGTATCCCTGTATTTAACCTTTAGGCAACAATATAGGGCAGACAAAAATATATATTATTAAACCACTGTGGCCTAAAAGCAAAGTGTGGAGATAAATTAATGCTGACAGGTCCTGGTTATCACCTATTCATAATTGAATATATGTCATCTCGAGCTTTTTTTTTAACACTTTTTCCACAAATTGTTATTGTTGTTTATTTTTCAAATAAAGAATTAATCACCTGCGAAAAGTTAGAATTTTTCTTTTTACTTGGTCTTGTTCTTATTGTCAGCAGTTTGTTCAAAAGTTTGCAAATTAGTCTGGGCATAACAAAGTGTTAACAACACATTAATTTATAATCTTTTTGCTCTGAAAAGTCAATTTATGTTCATATATTTAGTCTATTAGTTTGCAAGGGGATACTGGACGAGGTTCTTGAGTCGGAAATATTTTGCCTATTGAATACATAGGCTCCACAAGAGGGCGCTCTTCTAAAGCTTTTCAATTTCACACACAATACAGCTGCTCCTTTGGCCTATGACCCTTCAGTTGTCTAAGGGGAATGGAGGAATATGCCGAATTTCTTAGATTACTTTTATTGCCTAATTGTTAAAATGAGTGCTCTTTGATGAACTCCATCCACCTGTTTAACAAACGTTTTTTTCTTATTTATCAAATGCAGATATCTTCAGAAAACTCATTGATTAATTATCAGTGATGGCGCAGAGCATGAGCATTCTCAGCTGCTGCTTAGAGCCTACAGGCTCCTCAGGCCTGCTTGACTTCTCACGGCATACAGATTTAACTACAAAGCTTCTAAATCTGCTATTGAATTAATTTTAAATGTTATTACATTTCACATGTATACTTATTATGAAATTAAAGTTTATGGAATTATTTATGTTATTTTTTTTAAACAAAAAAGACTTTTCTGGATGGAGTTTTCATGTTCTTCTCATGTGTTGCTGTTCTCTCTGTGTGCACTAAACCCAAATGCATTGTGGGCTGACTAACTTTAGAATACCCATAGGTGTCAGTGTGTGCGTGTATAATTGTGGCCTCTGTGTATTTCTTCTCCAACACTGACCTCTGGGGAGAAAACGAAGTTAGATAGTGTCTAGGAGTGATGTTAGCTTGGATACAGTTCTCTAGTGTCCCACCAACTTCCCTGGGTCAAGAGGACGGCCTTACCTTCCTGTTCAGCTTATCCAGTTGTTTCCTCTCAGCTGTTGATAGCTGGCCTCTCCAGCGGACCACACCAAAGATTATGGTTCCAGGATTTTTTATTCTCTTCAAACACCCTCAGCAGATAGATACATTAAATGAGATTAAAAACAGGATGACCTAAAATAAAGCCATGCCACAGCATCCCAGTCAGAGTTAAGTCCAGACTCTAGCTACTCTAAGGTGGACTTTCTGTTGTGTTCGAAACAATAAGGCAATAGTGGATATCAGAGTTTGAGGGAGTGGTGGCCTAGTGGTTAGAGCATTGCGCTTGGGTCCCGGGGGGTTCTGAATTCAACTCCCACAGCCACTATGGGTCCCTGAGCAAGGGAGCTCAGAGAAACATTGTGCAGCTCCTCAAGCACAATATTTTCTGGCAGAAAAAATAATCCTCAGGTTCCATCAATAACATCATCCAGGCTCAAAGAGGAAATGTGCCATCAAACCATTACCAAGTTTCATTATTGGTATAATGTACTTCATCTGCAAAGCTTTATAAGTTTTAATTTAAATGTAAAATATTCAGAAAGTTCAACCTTTGTGACTCATCACCACAAAAATGATATTTTCCTGAAGTTCCTGATGATCTTTAGGATGTTTTTAAAAGCGAGACTTTTAAAAGTCTCAGGGACTTTGATTCTGTTCATCTGTTCTTACTTTTATATCAGACCTGTTTTATTTTTATTTTTTCTAGGATAATTTAACTCATTTCTACTGGTCTGCAAATAATTACTTCCTGGTTCCTAATCTAATGTTACTAGAGATATATCTGCAACATGCTGGGAAAACCATTTCAGTACTTATGTATGTATTTCTTAGATATATGTGCATGAAAAATCAATTTATCAAATTTGAACAAAAATAAAGCTGGATATTGTCTAGTTTGTCAATTATTTCTGCATCTGTCAAAGTTTTATCTCCACTGTAGTTGGAGGTGACTGAGTATTGGCTGATTGGCTGTGCGTCTTTGATGACGCGCGGCGCACTCATTGAATATTCAGAAAGAGCGTCTCTTCCCTGCCGCAGAATTAAGCTCGGACAGCGGACCATGGGGAGCAATGGAGAACTTTTAATACTGAGATGTTGACTTTTTAGGAACATTCAAGTGGGACGAGGCTCCCAGCGCGAGGAGGGCAGGGTGATAAACAGGAAGAAAATACACCGGAGCGGCGAGAAAACTTTAGAGACGATCCAACAATCTGCGGTGGAAAATCCAGTTTGCTCCAATTGATTTGAAAGATGAGCTTGCTGTCTGCCATAGATACGAGCGCCTCCGTGTACCAGCCAGCGCAGCTCCTCAACTGGGTCTATCTCTCCCTGCAAGACCCCCATCAGACCAGCGCCTTTGACGCGTTCAGACCCGAAGCCAACTCTTCCCACACGGATCTCAGCTTCAGCAAGACTCCCGCTGCGCCGGACCTGAGCTCTTCCCTCAACTCCAACTATCTCAACAACTTTTTCCAGCTGCAGCGCAATGAGGTAAAACTCCCGATCTGCTTCCAACCAGATCAGCTGAGATGGGTGGGCAGCAGAGGGTCCAGGGTACAATCCGATAGGGCCCCTTAGATAAAGTTTTCAAAACAAATTGTTTAGAGTAAAACTCTTAAAAAATGCCCATTTACTGCAAATCTATTCATATCAACCATATTTTAACATTTATGCATCATATTCTAAATTTAACCATTATTTTTTTCCAGGGTGACAACATTCATTTACATATAACCACTTCTAAAGCACACAAAACATTTGACCTGTTCTAGTGCTTTAGGGGCCCTAGCTGGGGTTGGTTTTGCAGCAGCTGCTATGTTTTGGTTTTTTTTTTCAAACATCACAGCTTTTGACTATTGCTCCCTTTATATTTCTGTTCATATATCTATATATTGTGAAACTATCATTGCTATTCTTATAGTCATCCATATGCATGGGAGATAAGTGTGGAGTGAAAAAGATCCAGGGCTGGTTGGATGGTGTTTACTTTTCAACAACAACAAGAAAAAAAAAATGATGTATCAGTTGTACAAACAAACAAAAACATGTATGTGGAACTATTCAGTGCTGCTTGTTGCCCACTGTTGTTTTTGGAGCCCTAAGCCAAAACTGAGTTTCCCAATGCCTCTGGGCAGCTCTGTTTATTCACACTTTATAACCACACAGTTGATTTGATAAAAATTAATGCAAGAAAAAAATAAACAAAACTAGCTTGGATCTCTTCCTAACCACAACTAAATTCCAGGAAAATAATGATTTGTTTGTAATAACATATCAACCATGAATGCCACCTTAGGTATAAAGTTGTACTTTTTTTAAATTTAAATAATTGCATAAAGGGGTCTCTTTTTCTGTCTTTGCCCATATATATTTTCCAATAAAAGAATATATA